TACCCTTGTACATATATCCTAAAAATATATTCCAAGTTGTTATTCGAATCCGGAGTCATTTGTGGATTACCCTTCATTGCACTCCTTCTCCTGATCTACCACTACCTACGTCCACAGATAAGACTGTTCACGCGTTATTGTCACACTATTGGTTTCCTTGCCTGAAAATGCGAGTGAGGCAGTATATCGATAATTGTGTAAAGTGCTTGACGTACTCTACGGCTGCCGGTAAGCCGGAAGGCGAACTGCAGATCGTTAAGAAGGATACTGTGCCAATGCAAACGTTGCACCTTGATCACTTCGGCTCATTAGAGGGAACTCGGGTTGAATTTAAGTATATCCTAGTGGTTATCGATTCGTTTACTAAGTATGTATGGCTGTTTGCCACTAAATCTACAGGTTCAGCCAAGACTATCGTGCATCTGTCTCTTTTATTTGATTTGTTTGGTCTTCCTAAGCGGGTTATTAGCGACAGAGGCACGGCATTCACTTCCGGAGATTTCCTTAATTTTATGCAGAAAAACGAGATATACCACGTATTGACAGCGGTAGCATCCCCTTGGGCCAATGGCCAGGTGGAGCGCGTGAATCGGTTTTTGAAATCCACACTTGCGAAATTGTCCGAAGATCCGTTCGATTGGAAATGTAATTTGAGTAAAGCACAGTATGTAATCAATGGCTGCGTTGAGCAGAGAAAACAGCTTTACAACTGTTGTGAGATTCTTCAACATGATTAGTTCTTGCCTTTAGTTCTTCATGGATCTAAATGTATAAACCAATCATATTAATGAATTTTACAACAGTTGCAAAGCCGCTTTTTTTGCTGAACGCAGCCAATAATACGCTCAATAAATCGATTGGAACAACACCCAGTAAGATGCTACTTGGATACGATCAGCGTTATAAGGGGTACGAAAATTTGCGCTCACTAATTGATGCTCTTCGACAATCGGACGCGGATTTCGAGAAAGAACGCGGGGAAACAAGAGACGCGACACAAATCATTAATCGCCGACTACAAGAATACAATAAAGTGCAATACGATAAGCGACACAAAAAGAATTCATTGTACCAAGCAGGGGACTTTGTATTGGTAAAGGTTCTTCAGCATAAACCGGGAACCAATCAAAAACTTGCGCCGAAATACAAGGGCCCCTACCTTGTTAAAGCTGTTCTTAAAAAGAACCGATATGTTATAACGGATATATCAGGTTTTAATCATGGTAGAAATATAAGGGTATGCTCTTGCGCATGGTACAGCCAGACAACCAATGAGAATTGCAGCTTGACTACGTCATCATTACGTGGCAAATTCAAACGCTTAAAGATGAAATAAATGATTATGATAGCGTCAATGCAAGGAATAAGCGAATAATAATAAAATAATAATAAATAATAATAAATAATAATAAATAATAAATTAAAGAATAAGCGAAACGATTTTACGAGAATGATAAGTAATAAATATTATTGTGTCACATCAGTTTATATATTCCACACATATAATTTTTGTAAAACGAACAAATATATTATGTAAGTGTATGAAATTAAGTTAAATAAACTAAAATGAAACAAATAATGAAATTACAGCACCTGAAAAATTGTCAAAGTTTTTAGAAAGGAAAAGACCATAGTCGTATAAAATTATATGTAAAAACTCAGTTTAATTATTAACAAATTTAGATATTTTTTTCTTGTTTTTTCTGGTTCTATTTTGTAATGATATTTCACGGTTAATTTCTCTAACTCGAATGTATGTTCGCGTTCTTACTAAGCATAAAATTACCTCTGTGGGTATTTTGATTGGGTATATTACATTTTTGATTTTCTCCGCCAGTGTTTGAAATATAAGTTCGTCTTTACAAAGAGTTGATCCGTGATATTTACTAAATTCCACATTCATAACGCGCGCAGTTTTAATAAGTTCTTCCGACGGGTACATGCACTTGCCACGTGAAATAAATTGTAGCCAGTCTAAATTGCTTTCAACTGGCAAGAGACATGTTTCGTTACCTAAATACGTCCACCGTTCGGTCGTCTGGCAATTCTGGCATCAATATTTTATCCGGCCGAAGTACGTCGGACGTTGCCGAGGCTGCACGAACGTGACGTAGGCAAGCTGCTGCGCAGAAGCCTCCTAAATTCGTCCACCGGATGAGCATACCCTTATATTTCTACCATGGTTTTAATATTAAGCAAAAACCTTTAAATACCATTATGTCGGCCGATAAGATAAAACCGTGGATTAGAACCGATAATTTAAAAAATCAAAATAAAGATTGATTCGGAAATTGATGGTAAATTGGTAATTGGTATATACACTCGACAGCAAAATTAAAGCATCACCCATTCTGATCACTAAAAATAAACAAATTTCAAGAGAGTGTAACTTCGTCAAATATGATCGTATCGGAATGATCAAAAAAGCATTTTAAAGGTTAAAGTCTCTACTTTTGACTTTTGACACACATAATTCATTAAATTACTTACTGATTCTTTACAAAGCTGCACAGATGCAAATGGAGATGCATCAAATCTAAAAATATTTTACCAAGTTTGCGAAGTTCCAAAAACTAAACTAAAAATCGCACGCAAATGAGGTTTACATCGTTCGAAAGCGTAAATCTTTAGCTTTAATTTCAGCACCCAATCGGTCGCAATGTGCGATTTTTTTTCACCGAGTTATTCAACATTGAAGCAAAAATGACCGTTTTTGCTTCAATGTTGAATAACTCAGTGAAACAAAATCGCACATTGCTGATCGAGTGCTAAAATTAAAGCTAAAGATTTACGCTTTTGAACGATGTAAACCTCATTTGCGTGCGATTTTTTGTTTAGTTTTTGGAACTTCGCAAACTTGGTAAAATATTTTTAGATTTGATGCATCTCCATTTGCATCCGTGCAGCTTTGTAAAGAATCAGTAAGTAATTTAATAAATTATGTGTGTCGAAAGAAGAGACTTTAAGCTTTAAAATGCTTTTTTGATCATTCCGATACGATCATTTTTGACGAAGTTACACTCTCTTGAAATTTGCCTATTTTTAGTGATCAGAATGGGTGATGCTTTAATTTTGCTGTTGAGTGTATATATATTGTTTTAGGAAACCTATTTTATACAGTGACTCCATTTCTATAATTAGGACTAATTTATTGAATTTAATTTTGTCTTTAAGACTGCATAAATGTATTAAAACATTATTTAAATAGCTAAGAATATGACTGAATCTATTGTAAGTGAAGCGGCTCTGATTTATTGTAATGGATAATGTATCACGATACGGCAATATTGTAAAGAAGTAAAGTGGAAGTATGCAAGTGTAATAGGAAAATATAATTTATTCAAATAAGAAAAGGGCTGTTCGGGACGAACAGAATTGTCAGGCTGGCCGAACTGCAAGCGCCTGACGGGAATCCGGCCGATCGCACCATCTAGCGATTTGAGTAAGACCAATTAGTGCTCTAGATAGAGCGGCAATCGCAAGTGACGGTGCGGAATTTCGGAGTAAGAGAGGAAGGGGAGCGAGGGGTACGCGGTAAGCGGGCCAAAAGGGAGTCAGTCGAGGTTTTGAGTCGCGGTGAGAGTACTGACGATTTCGAAAGCGAGCGTGCGAAAAAAGAAAGAAAGACGGTGAGCGTGCCGGGCGAATAAACTGGAGTATCTAGAGGGGTGTGCGGTCCCCGACTGCGATATATGTATATATTCTTGTTTAGAGTGATTCTGTGATACGGAACTTTATATTAAATACATTATTGCCTATATACAAGATCCGCTGTCCAACTCATTTATTGCTGCGTGTGTGCCTTTGTCCTTCCCGCTGTTAAGCTTACAGCGAGATTATTTATCAGAAGTGGGATAAGTACTCATCTACTTCGAGGATTTTTCGCAGTTAGTGCGTTTCCACGGGAAAGTCGTTGAGAAATTCGAACGGCTTCGAGAAAGTTAGTTGCGCCGGAGGAACGGGCAGAGGAAAACGGAGCACGCGGTGCAAGCGTGCCCTTTACGTGATCAGCGCAGGAGCGCTTTGTTCGGCGGAGCAAGTCATTGTTGTCAGCATTCGAGTTCTTCACAAACAGACGCCGGTCGCAGTGACCTTGTTTGCGACGTTTGATTATTGTCTGTTGATCGACCGGAGTCGGTGGACAGTTGTTGAGTGCCATCGGGCGGTGAGGTAACAGGGAAGAAATTCGTTCGGCGGAGCTATGAGTCGGGTGCAATTGGAGCAGCTAAACGTTGAGGGGCTGAGAGAGGTCGCTCGTCAGCATGATTTAGACATCCGCGGTGCTCGCGCCGCATTGTTTGATCGTATTACGGATTATTTTGAGCGCCAGGGTTGGCCAGAAACCATTACGGTCACACCGCCCGTTATTGAGGATTGTACGGGGGAGGAACAGGAGCCTCAGACGGCCCGGGAAGAAGCCGGCGTGGATGCGACTGCGGCGGAGCGGCCACCTCAAGCGCAGGGGACGGAAGTGAGAAGGCATTCCGGAAGGAGTGTTAATGCCGGAAGTGCTTTGGAAATGCAGGAAATTGTGCGGGCTGTTTTGCAGGCCCTAAATGTACCGCAGGAGCGACGGCTGAGCGGGGTGCCTGAGTGGTCGGGGTCGGAGGTGCGGCCGGGGGCGTCACCCAGTTCCACTTCTCGATCGAGTGGTTTCCATAACTGGAATCAAGTAAAGTTCGCATCTAAATTGATTCCTACTTTTTCCGGGAAGAAGGTCGAGAATGTTGTTCCATGGTTGGAGAGGATATCAAGTATAGCTAGGATGTATCAGATCCCCGATGAGGTCTTGGTCCTGGCGGCTGTGAATCAATTGACGGATCGCGCGATCGGCTGGTATAATCGACAGTCAGTGGAATCGGTGGCGTCGTGGCAGGATTTTAAGCGCCAGATTCGGGCGTATTTTGAGAGGAAGGAGACAGTAACCATGACATTGTCA